ACAGCTGATCTCCCGTTAACGAACTGCTCCACCGTGTGTTTTCTGTTTACAGGACAAGTGGGTCCTGGAACACGATGACATCATCCTGGGACCCCTCATTGGTCGGGTGCGTCAGCTCGTCTTCTGTTAGCAGAAATGTTGAAAACATGGAAGCTGAATTACAACTTTGTTTTCCTCTTGCTGCAAGACTTCCTGCTAAACTGACAGGGTTTTGTTGTTATTTCAAGCAAGGAAAGTTTTTTTTTAAATTTGACCTGAAGTGAATTTTTATTTGTCAGAAAATCATCGACCAAAACAGGATGATTAAGATTCTGTTTAAATTACCAGTGAAACTRCTGGGAATAAAAAAATGTAGAAACTGAACCTCCAAACTATTGTAAAAGTAACTTCCTCCTGCTGCAAAATTCACAATAACTTATTAACTGGTCTGTGTTAAATTATATCACTTTACAGATAAATTTAATGTCTAGAAAACTTCAAACTTAAAAAAATAAAAACAGAAAATTATTTAATTTTCTGCCTTTATCGAACCCATGCAAAAAACTGAAATGTTTCAGAGCTAAATTAGTAACACAGAAAACATTTCCCTTTATTGTACAATTTAAAATAGTACAATGGAAATTACAAACTGTTGAGCTGCAAACATGTGACAAATAGGAACTGCTGCACTGTCGTGACAGCATGTTTGAAAGTTAGAAAGTTGTGCAACTCAGTAGATGTGTYGCAATTTTAGAATTAAACACCTCAAAAAGCTTTAAAATAAAAACAATAAATCAAACCTAAGTGAAAATCAGACACGATAAGTTTATAAGAAAGTAACACCAGAGGAAAACAAAACTGTGATTTAACAAACGGACACAATAGAAACTTGTCAGAAAAAAAGAGGTGAAAACAGATTTTACAAACTGAAAGAGGTAAACGACTCTACACGCCTGACTCCATGCAGGGTTAGAAAACTAAACCAGGTGCAAACAGGAAGCAGAAAACCAGATCAACTGAACAGAAAAGAGGTGAAAACAAGAACAGAAATCATGGAAAAAGAAAGAAAGAAGTCAGAAACAGAAACAAACACATTAAAGAATAAATCTGCAGTGTAAATATTTTAAACCTGACGTCTCTTTGACTCTGCAGGGTAATTTTGGAGAGGTGTACAGCGGGTGTTTACGCTCTGATAAAACTCCTGTAGCTGTGAAATCCTGCAAGGAGAACCTGGCTCCAGAACACAAGAGTAAGTTTCTGATGGAAGCCAGGTCAGTACCAGCCCACACACACACACACCTACACACACACACACACACACACACAGAGGTGTAAACCTCCCTTTGTGCCGTGCAGGATCCTGAAGCAGTACGACCATCCCAACATCGTGAAACTGATCGGCGTTTGCACCCAGAAACAGCCCATCTACATCATCATGGAGCTCATCCAGGGTAACACCGTCTTCCAGCAGCGTCAGTTTCTGTTCCAGCACCACTCTGTGACACCTCGTCCTCTGTGTCGTCTGATCTCTCCAAGGTGGAGACTTTCTCACCTTCTTGCGAAGCGAGGGTCACAATCTGAGGCCGAAGATGATGGTCAAGATGACGGAGAACGTAGCAGCGGGGATGGAGTACCTGGAGAGCAAGAAATGCATCCACAGGTTGGTTCAGCTCTTTATTGAACCAGAACTCAGCTAAAATAAATTCAAAACCTTTTCTCCTGTAACCAAAAATACACATTTTACCTGCAAATATTCTCTTTTCTGCTTCATTACAAAAGYATGATTTCATCACATAAAGTAAATGATTTCTATCATATAAACTTTCTTCTCGATTCAATGCACAAAAAACACTGAAAATAGGAAAATTATTTTTCCAAGCACAGTTAGGAGTCCTGAATGAAACGGTCTAAGGGGGTCACACACTCAGGACTCCTGTTTTAATCGAACACTTGTCTCAAACAGCTGAATATCCTGGATCTTCTRTCTGTTAAACTCAGTCCTCCTCAGTCAAGAGTTGTTTATTTTTCTGTGTGGAGTCTGAATCGATGCTCTCCTGCATCCTGAGCCGTCTCTAAGCAGGTGATGCAGCAGTTAGACGTGTGTCGTTAAACCAAGCTGTCAGCTGAGGAACAGTTGAGCTTCTGTTCCTCAGATTTACACACGAAGAGACTTCATCCTCTGCAGGGTGAACAATGAGCTGCAGCAGACAAGATGATTTTTGTAGGAGTGGTCAAGAAAAKTACCATTTTTTTCCCTACATAGCAGTTTGCTGAGGATCAAATTGTGTTTCTTTTCTCCTGGGCAGTGACTTAACATGTTACAGCACCTGAGAAGTGCGTACACTCTGTGCATAGAAACATAGAATTCTGATGACAAAGCTACGGTTGGGGTGGCCAAAGATATTTTTATGGTGGCCATGGCCACCCCCAGTCACCCCCTGGCTCCGCCCCCTGAGCTGCAGGGCAGGTCGGAGTAAGACCCAGCAGGTTGATCTCTTCTCGTGTGACCTCAATCCAAACTGCACCTCCAGATGGATGGTGGATCAGTGGTTAGCACGGTTGCCTCACAGTAAGAAGATTCTGGGTTGAACTTGGGTCTTTCTACTCCGGCTTTCTTTGTGTTTTTAAGGAAAACTTCTTGGGTTTCTAAATTTATTTAGAAGAAAATTTTAAATCTAACATTGAAGGGAAACTCAGTTTTTTGCTGTTGTTAATAAAAGCTGGAAACCACAAACTTTACCTTAGAATAATTTTCATCTAGATAGATAGATAGATAGATAGATAGATAGATA